GAAGTTGCTCTGTGTCCAGAAGTCACATGGCTCTCTCTTTGCTCTAGTTTTTACCCTCGAGTTGGTGGCGCTTCCTGTGAATGAGCAGGTCTGCAACTTGAGAGCCCTTTTGAACTTGTGGCTGCTGTTGATTTGAAGATTGATGTTGTGGACAGGGAAACCGATGCCCATATTCAGTTGGCATGCCAGTTATGCCTCTGTCTGGAGTGGAAGGCCCTGGTGATGGTAACTCCTCTCCTCAACACCACAATATTAGACCCCTGAAATGTGCTTTACCTGGGGCTGCTTTTGAAGACAACTTGAAAGCTGCAATTGGCATAGAGTACAGGTGCCCACCTCCTGGCAGATGAGAGTCCCTACAGCCTTGTAACTGCAACCCCTGTGCTGCAAGACTGCACTGGCTTTCAGTAGGCTTCTGGGTACAATTCAGACGGTTGGCTTGAACACTGAAAGCCTTCCTGGCTTGATTCCCAGGAATCTGCAGGACTGCCTCTTCTAGCTATAACTTAGCTTGATGCTCCCAGTATAAAAGAGACTAGAGCCATAGGTGCCATAGGCAGTGTTGTTATGGAAAAGTCCCCATTTTGTGGAACAGCCTTCCTCTGGAGGTCTGGTTGGCCCTGACCCTGATATCCTTCTGCAAGGCTGTTAGGGCGGAGCTCCCCTGCAGGGCTTTTGAACTGTGACACCGTACTGATAGGATTGACTGTTTGGTTCCTGTAGTTGATTCACAGTTTCTTTGTTGTCTTATGCTGCTCTTTGCTGGACAGTTTCAGTTGTATAGCTGTTTGTGTTGTAACCTGCCATGTGTTGCTTTAGATTAGGGGGTGTAGAAGTTTAAGAAATATAAACTTTATATTTATTAAAGTTATATTTATCGGAGTGCACAAAACATTTTAAACTGAAATGGTTGTATTGCATTTCAGAACCCTTCTGGGACAGTCAGAACAGTTTTGGAATAGTTACGCTAAATAAGAACCCCTGTTTGGAACTCAAAATGCTTCGGGTTTAAAATGGCCTGCACGCACATTCAGTGTATTTTTCCTAATACATGAGTGAAGATCATGTACAGTAGTAGTAAACCAGTAAGAATGGCTTCTATATTTGTTTTTTCCCCCCTTCTGTTAGTGAATTTCCAAATGGATCCAGTGTTAGGTTGACTTTGGCGTTAGGTGCCTGGTCTGTATGTCCTCCATCTAAGAATAGCCCATCTGTTGCCTGAGATTAAACATTTCAGATCCAGATGGTTAAAAGCTTAAATCAGCCTTTCCAGAGATACAAATGACCCATTTCAGAGATTTTCTACACTTGAGCCGCCATAGTGCAGTGAGAAAATTTACAGCTCTGTGAAGAACTCCTTTTCCCATTGTTAGATATACCGTATCTTCAGTGGGCTGAAGCAGCACCTCTGGGGCTGTTGTGCTTTCAGGCTCATTTGGCATTTGCTTTATTAAAAGTGATTTTTAACAGTGTGTAATTTTGAACACTTAAACCACACCAGGCTGAAAGTTAGCATTAAATACAAATATCACAAATGTTGTTTGCAGAACAAGTGCCCTAAAATTAGGTTAATTTGTGGTAAGGTTAAAGAAAGGGCTCAATTGGGATATGTTTACTTTTGGTTAAGAAGAGTACCCAGCAGACAGGAAAGTTAACTTAATCATGAGCTGCTTGTGGTAGGGAAGTGTTACTGGTTTCTTAACAATAAAACATGATAATATAAAGTTGTTCTTCTTGGACTCAATGGAGGATTAACTGGGGTTGACTCTGGTTCTGTGTTACTGTCTAGCTAACTCATCTTTTTGTGCTGAGGAATTCAGGTTTTCCCTCCTGCCTTTCTTCCTGTAAACACTCAGTGATGAGCAACTACTTCACAAATGTAATAAAATACATGCATTTGGGATTGGCTAGATTCACATATCACACTAAGGCCATGGTGTGCTTTGGATTTAGCATGAGGGTAGGCAGCCAGTAGCCCTTGGAGCCCTTCCACCCATCATGATTGCTGAAAACTAATAACACCTATCCCTACCTTTTGAAGTAGAAAACAAATGAAACTGTGGTCTAGACCATAAATTAGGCATAGCACAATTAATAAAACAAGGCCTCACAAACTTCCCCTCAAAGTCCTGCCCTGCTGACATACATGATATGGAACTACCCATTTGGGGCCTCAGCTGCTCCATCACACGCGTGCCCATCAAAAGCTTGCCCATCCCTGGCTGAGCCTGAGGTGTGAATCCTCCATTATGATTTGTAAATGATGGTTTATGGCTTAGCCTGATATGGAATCCAGTTCTGGTGTAGTCAAGGAATGATATTTTTAAAAAACTGTGGTATATTATAATGTCAATCCAGCCACAATGGCACATTTTATAAGGTAAGAGGAACATTCAGTAAGATCTGGGCCCCAGAATGTGGGACAATTGAAAGTTAATTAGTGGATGATGATACATTTGCTAAAAATATGTCCCTGATTGGTCAGCATTGTTTAAAAAAATGGGTTAGTTCATCAAACTCTTGATCTTGAGTGCCACCTTATAAAAAGCATTCTCGGAAAGGTATGTCTCATCTGGCAATGTCTTCTATGATCCATGTCACTTTTTTCGGGGTTGCTTATTTGCTACTTTGAGTACTTAAAGTACTGGTTGTAGGTATGCAACTCTTCATGCTGGTGAGGGCATCAATCTATAGTGGGGGACGAGGACAAGAAGATACCAAGGGAGCTAGATGGAAATGGCTTAAGATATTACTTGCTTATTTTTGTACATTTGAATCCAGCTTTTCACCCATGTATCCTCAAAAGGTAGTTCATGTAAAACCAAGTGTTTTACAGAGGGGCTCTCTGTGTTTGCTGAATAATAATAGAAACTGGAATTGTTTATCTGGTATTATTCCAATCCCTGCAAGGTTGAGGAGAGCAGCAAAGATGGCAGGCAGTCAGGAAAATATTTTGATTGTAGAGTAGGAGGACTCAGGCTGGGATAAAGCAGATCTCAGCTGGTTTTATAGCTATTAAATGTTGGGACACTTCTATTGCAATTTTTTTTCATTTTTAAAACTTTTATTGGTAGGACACTTGCTGACACAGCATTATCGTTACAGTTTCTCGCTTAGAAAATATAGCAGCTAAGTTGAGACACAAGAAAGACACAAAACTTCTTTAAAGCTCCTGTAAATGTTTTAGCAGAGGATTGCTTACTGGCAGTTTTCCAAGTTGGAGAACTTATTTGCCCTCATTTAGCTATATTATATCACTGTTCTTTTTACTGTTTCGTTTAATAAAATGTCTCCCACGTCTTTTCTAACACCTGCTACCTTTTTCTTTAAGAAGAGAGTATATTGTTTTGCTGATTTGTATTGCAGAAGCTTCTAGCTCTTTCCAGTAATAGCAGCTTTGTAGCTTATAAATATTCTTTAAATGTGAAGGCTGGTTGTACAGAGGTAGCAAAATCATAACATGATTATATTCTTTCTCTACTGAAAATGTAATTGATTATAATTTTTTCTTCTGGGTATGTGAAAAACCCACCCTTCTAGTGGAGAATGGAGCTGGTTAAAAATAATAGCTACCTTTTGAGATGTAATTGTACTTAGGAGAAGCCCTTGGTCAGATTCAGAGCAAGTTTGAATGTCTAATGTGTGCCAGCTTCCTCCTCCCCATTTTTCTAAGAGTTCAGAATGTTTTATCTGGTGACTCAGCGGATTTTTTAACTATTGCTTAGAAAAATTGAATGTACTTAGGATCAAATGTTCCAGGTTTCTTTTTCTAAATCAGACATACAATAGCATTAGAAACTTACAGCAACCCTTTGTCTTTCTTAATCCATTCTGAATGAAGAACTAGTTAAGCAACATTATTCAAGAATCAGAGCAAAAGATATTTTATACTGACTGCAGATTCAAAATGTACAATCAATAATAACTCTGGAGGCCAGCATTGTTGTCCTGATGCCAATCTCCCCCCCCCCTTTTAAAGCATAAATAACAGATTAAATCTATTTTAGAGTACACCCACCCAATTAACATGCCTAATATGTTTCAGAATTGCTAGAGCTGAGACAAATTGCCTACTGCTTTTTAATTATCCTCTGTGTTAGTACCTAAATTCTGGTTAACATACCACAATAGAATAATCCAATTTGTTCTCTTTACACAAGAAGAACAAAGTGCCATTCTTAAACCTTAAAACCAAAACATGAACCGTTCAATAAATTGGAAGGAGGGAAGAAGAAACATGATATCTGTGTTCCTCAACTTGGTGGCCTCCAGATGTGTGGAGCTTAGTTAGAAGGACCATTGTAAGCCAATACTTCTGGAAGGGGCTGAGTTGAGGAAGGTTTAAGCTGTAGTCTTATAGCAGTTGTTCAGTTAATTTTACTACTTCAGGCTATGTTCTAAGTGGGTTTGCTTTTCCAGCATCTTCTTGTTGATGCTACAGTATTTTAACTGTGTTTTATAGTCACTGTAAAAGAAAGCTTATAGCTTCCAGACGAAAAGCAGTTACGTAGCTAATTCTCTCAGACCTAAGGTATTGTTTTGTTTATTTATTTGATTATATTTGTCTTTTCTTCCAAGAGCTTATAGTGTCTCACATGGGATCTCCCTTTAGTGTGTCTCCACAAAAGCAACTTTTTGAGGTAGGTTGGGCTGAGAGAGCATGACTGGCCCAAAGTCACCTAGGGAGCCTCTGTGGTTGAGAACCTGGATTTCTCCATTCCTAGTCAACATTTCACCACTGCATTCTCATCCACTGAAATTAATATTTTAACTACAAAATAAACCCATACATAAAGTTGACCCACAGAGCTGCTTACATAAAATTTTATTTGTGTAATGTTTGCTTAGTGAGTGAGAATTGTTATTCTTTTGCAAAGTAGCATATCTAGTCAGCTTCTTTTATGAATGTGTTGTTTCAGGAAAATTTGGAAGTGATGTTGCCCAGTATTTTTGCAAGGATCCTCAATCTTCAGCATTTGAAATTTCACAAAGCAAGATAACAGATACTTCAAGGCTGAGTTATGTGCAATTTTTCTCTTTCAAGAAAGCATTTCTAGTGTTTTGGAAGTACAGTCTGTTGAATCTGCCAGCAGAAAGCAGTCTCTAAGATCCAAATGCTGCTAACCCCAAATTTTCAGTGGAAAGTATTAAACTGCAAAACTTATCGTATTTCAACAAAGACCTTCAAAACTTTTAAAGTAACAAAACCCACAATTCTGAGGAGGCTACCAATCATTGTAGTCTTGTACAAAAGTTGTTGCATTTAAATTCCTCTTATATTTTGGGCAACTTGGTGTTTTAAAAAGCCCCAAACCTAAAAACTCATTCCTTATAATATCTAGACACAACCCTCTGTGGCAGGTATTGGAAACACAAGATAAAATATTTTTTTTAAAGTTGCATTGTGATCATACTGTTTGTTATTCTGTGAAAGTAAAAGAGACACTATTTGTGTGTATGGAAGGCAGAAGGATCTCAAAAAAGAATACCCACTTGGTTCCCCATTCCACTGATCTGTATTTATGAGAGTTGGGCTGTGTTGGAGACTGTTCTAGTGTAGCTAACATTAACACTCTCCTGCTGTCTATGGTTGGGTAGCAGCTAAAAAGAAGATCTCGCCCTGCAACAACATAGTAACTTAGCTTGTTCAATCATGAATAGGATAATGTGTGTGAGTGGCAGCTAGAATGCTTAAGGCTATTTTCTTTCCCTCTGCTGGACTCTTGTCTTCCTGTAATTCCCTGTTAGGGAATGTTCTCAGTGATGCTAGAAAAGCTGTATCCGTCCATTTCTGCCTGTCAGGAGAGGACTAAAAATATGGATTGTTGACAAGAGAAGGTGACTCCATAGCTCACACTTAAAAATGCAATTCTCATTTGTGTCATCTTGCTCTCCCGTCCATTCCACGCTCTGCTGGCTTTCCTTTCTATATCTCCATGTGCTGCATTCCCCTCCTCTGCAGAACAGGGAGGGAAAATACGAGAGACTAACATTAAGGCTCATTTGCATCAGGCAGTGTCGATAGAGGACTTCTTTATCTCAGCTGCAGCCTCCATGATATTGTCCCTGTGTTTAAATAGGGCTGCATTGTGGCATTGTGGGTAGGACTTTTTCCTTCTTGCTTCCCAGAATGAAAAATAAATAAATAAACAAGCCCAACTCAAAACTACTTCCTTAGTTGGTGTGCAGGGTTTTCCCCTTTGCACATTCTCTAGAAAAGTAAGTGTGCACACACAAGCAGCTTTTGGAATGTTGCTCTGTTTGGTCTTTTTGAGAAAGGGCTTCCTTTTAATTCCTAGTGCAAAAGAAGAAGAAGAAGAAGCAGGGGCGCAACTCTGCCTCCTGGGATAGTGGCTTGGAAGCAGCCTACAAGATAAAGAAATGCATTATTAGTCAAATGCTGTCAAAGAGCACGCTCTCATGTTTGCTACCTGTAACAGTGAGCTATTTCTTTTCTATAAGGAAGGGGTAGAGAAGCTGCCTATCTCCCCTTCTGGTGTTGCTTTGTGACCCCATCCATTACTTCTTCACTGTACAGAGGGGAACTGGGTTCTAAAAGGGGAAGCGATTCTTTTAGTTTGGTTTTGGCAAATGCATGAGAGAGAGAGAGAGAGAGAGAGAGAGAGAGAGAGAGAGAGAGAGAGAGAGATGATTCCACAGATGCTTTTTAAGGCACAGCCTGCAAGTTAGCTTGAAGGAGCTATTTCTTTCTTCTTTCCGACACCTTTAAAGCCTATGCCTTTCTATGATTTAATTTTTCATTTGTACTAAAGATTAGTTGTGTTGTAATTTCAATAATCCTGAATCATTTTTGTTTTTCTTTTCTTTCAGGGAAAAATGCTGAGCATCCGGTTGGAAGGATCAGTGACAACCGAGCTGCTGGTGGTGCACCAAGAGTGGGAACAGTCGTCTTCACTGTGCTAGTCGTCATTAATCTGAACTGCCAGTAGTCCCCCCTACCATTTTGAGATTGCACAGGAGAACACTAATATCCTAGGAAGCAGCCACGTGTAACAGGATGTTTGGACGATGATGATGGCAAGGAAGCAAGATGTTCGCATTCCCACCTACAACATCAGTGTGGTGGGGTTGTCTGGGACAGAGAAAGAGAAAGGGCAGTGTGGCATTGGGAAGTCCTGCCTGTGCAATCGGTTCGTACGGCCAAGAGCAGATGACTTCCATTTGGACCACACTTCAGTTCTCAGTACCAGTGATTTTGGAGGAAGGGTTGTTAACAATGACCACTTTTTGTATTGGGGAGAAGTTGCGCGTTCTTTGGAGGACTGTGTGGAATGTAAAATGCATATTGTGGAACAGACTGAATTTATTGATGACCAGACTTTCCAGCCTCACCGCAGCACTGCCCTGCAGCCCTATATCAAAAGGGCAGCTGCAACCAAACTTGCATCAGCTGAAAAGCTCATGTACTTTTGCACTGATCAGCTTGGACTGGAGCAGGACTTTGAGCAGAAGCAGATGCCAGATGGGAAGCTCCTGATAGATGGCTTTCTTCTCTGCATTGATGTCAGCAGGGGCATGAACAGGAACTTTGATGAACAGCTCAAGTTTGTTTCAAACCTATACAATCAACTCACAAAGACAAAAAAGCCCACAGTGGTGGTTCTGACAAAATGTGATGAAGGTGTGGAGCGGTACATTAGAGATGCGCATACTTTTGCCTTAAGTAAAAAGAACCTTCAGGTGGTAGAGACCTCTGCCAGATCCAATGTAAATGTTGACTTGGCTTTCAGCACTTTAGTGCAGCTGATTGACAAAAGCAGGGGAAAGACTAAAATTATCCCTTACTTTGAGGCTTTGAAACAGCAGAGCCAGCAGATCGCTGCTGCGAAAGATAAGTATGAGTGGCTGGTGAGCCGTATTGTTAAAAACCACAATGAAACCTGGTCAAATGTCTCACGAAAGATGCAATCCTCTCCAGAGTATCAGGATTATGTCTACTTGGAAGGGACGCAAAAAGCCAAGAAGCTTTTCTTACAACACATCTGTCGACTCAAACAAGAGCATATAGAGCGCAGGAGGAAGATGTACCTTGCCATGTTGCCCCTTGCTTTTGACGCCCTTATTCCAAATCTAGATGAAATAAACCACTTAAGTTGCATTAAAGCGGAGAAGCTGTTGGAGACTAAGCCAGACTTCTTAAAGTGGTTCGTAGTTCTCGAGGAGACCCCCTGGGACGCTACCAGTCATATAGACAACATGGAGAATGATCGCATCCCATTTGATGTGATGGATACTCAGCCTGCACAGCAACTCTATGAGACCCATCTAGAAAAGCTGAGGAATGAGAGGAAAAGGGCAGAAATGAGAAGGGCTTTCAAAGAGAATTTGGAGACTTCCCCTTTCATAACACCAGGGAAACCTTGGGAAGAAGCTCGCAGTTTCATCATGAATGAGGATTTTTATATGTGGCTAGAGGAATCTGTGTACATGGATATTTACAGTAGGCATCAAAAACAAATTATTGAGAAAGCCAAGGAGGAGTTCCAGGAACTGCTCCTAGAATATTCAGAACTCTTTTATGAGTTGGAGCTTGATGCCAAACCCAGCAAAGAAAAAATGGGTGTCATTCAGGATGTGTTGGGTGAAGAGCAAAGGTTTAAAGCATTACAAAAGCTGCAAGCTGAACGAGATGCCCTGATATTGAAACACATTCATTTTGTCTATCATCCAACAAAGGAAACTTGTCCCAGCTGCCCTGCCTGTATAGATGCTAAAATAGAGCACTTAATAAGTTCCAGGTTTATAAGACCATCTGATCGCAATCAGAAAAACTTGCTTTCAGATTCCAATATAGATAGAATCAACTTAGTCATTCTTGGTAAAGATGGACTTGCACGTGAGCTAGCCAATGAGATTCGAGCTCTTTGTACAAACGATGACAAGTACGTGATAGATGGGAAAATGTATGAGCTCTCCTTGAGACCAATAGAGGGTAATGTCAGACTTCCGGTTAATTCTTTCCAGACGCCAACATTTCAGCCACATGGTTGCCTCTGCCTCTATAACTCTAAGGAATCCTTGTCTTATGTCGTTGAAAGTATTGAAAAGAGTAGAGAGTCAACACTTAGCCGAAGGGACAATCATTTAGCGCATCTTCCTCTTACCCTAATTCTAGTAAACAAGAGAGGGGATACCAGTGGAGAAACACTACACAGTTTAATACAACAAGGTCAGCAGATTGCTAGTAAATTGCAGTGTGTATTCCTTGACCCAGCTTCTGCTGGTATAGGATATGGGCGCAACATTAATGAAAAGCAAATCAGTCAAGTCCTGAAAGGCTTGCTGGACTCAAAGCGCAACTTAAATCTTGTAAGTTCAACAGCAAGCATTAAAGATCTGGCTGATATTGATCTTCGGATTGTCATGTGCTTGTTGTGTGGAGATCCTTTTAATGCAGATGATATCCTTCTGCCTGTTCTTCAGTCCCAAACCTGTCGGCCTTCTCCTTCTGGAAGTAGTAATTCTGTGTTACTTGAATATCCCATAGGACCACACAAGAGGCGCATAGAACTCTCCTTGCTTTCTTTCCATTCTGCCTTTAGCATTAGAAAAAGCTGGTTGGTCCATGGTTATATTTTGTTTTACTCAGCTAAGCGTAAGGCATCTTTGGCTATGTTACGTGCCTTTCTTTGTGAAGTACAGGATATTATCCCTGTTCAGATTGTGGCACTCACTGATGGTTCAGTCGATGTTCTAGACAATGATTTAAGTAGAGAACAGTTAACAGAAGGGGAGGAAATTGCCCAGGACATAGAAGGAAAGTTTACAAGCATCCCATGCAGTCAGCCTCAACATAAGCTAGAGATCTTTCACTTGTTTTTCAAAGATGTTGTGGAGAGAAAAAACATCATTGAAGCTACACACATGTATGACAATGCCGCTGAAGCCTGCAGCACCACGGAAGAAGTGTTTAATTCTCCCCGGGCTGGCTCCCCTCTCTGTAATTCCAATCTTCAGGATTCGGAAGAAGATACTGAGCCTCCAACCTACAGCCCTTTCAAAGATGATATGTCCATGCCCACCTTGTCCAAAGATCTTTCAAAACTTTCCATGGAACTGGAGGGGAACGATGGGCTTTCTGTCTTTTCTGTTATGAGCACTTTTGAAAGCAAACTGAACAACAAAGTACCTCCACCAGTGAAACCAAAGCCCCCTGTCCATTTTGATATTACCAAGGGGGATCTCTCTTATTTGGAGCAAGGACATAGAGAGGGACAACGGAAACCTGTCTCTTCTAGTAGCTGGCCACCTACTGATGGCTTTGACCCTTCTGATTATGCAGAACCAATGGATGCAGTGGTAAAACCAAGGAACGAGGAGGAAAATATCTATTCTGTGCCTCACGACAGTACCCAAGGCAAAATCATCACCATTCGTAACATAAACAAAACACAGTCCAATGGTAGCGGCAATGGGTCAGACAGTGAAATGGACACTAGCTCGTTAGAGCGTGGTCGCAAGGTATCCATAATTAGTAAACCGGTGCTGTATCGGACAAGGTGCACGAGACTTGGGCGATTTGCCAGTTTCAGGACAAGTTTCAGTATAGGGAGTGATGATGAATTGGGGCCCATCAGGAAGAAAGAGGAAGACCAGACTTCCCAGGGTTATAAAGGAGATAATGCTGTAATTCCCTATGAGACTACTGATGAAGACCCAAGGAAAAGAAATATCTTGCGTAGCTTGAGGAGAACAACCAAGGTAGTGTGTGTGTATGTCTGTGAATGTTTTTAACTTCAAATTGGGTTGTTTGACAGCCATTTACTTTCAGTGGAGTTCTTTAGAAACACAGTGTCTGTGGGAGAGAGAGCAGAGGGCTCAGCCTCAAATACAGAAAACTCTGCACACCCCAAGATTATGCATTTTGAAGTCCTAATCCAGTTGTTTGTCCATTCATGAAAAATAATTAGGAGTGGGCCGTGATTTTAGAACAGTGGGGTATCTGTACTTTAGGAGTTTTGGAATATAGTGCTGTGTGTAAGATATGAACAATTCATTTCCTGTTCAGAAGTGTCTATATTTGAGAAGTCATTAGGGACTAATGTTAAAGGATGTCAAAAAAATATTTTCAGGGTTTGATTTGAAGGCAGCATTTTGGTATAGAAATCAAGGTGCTGGACTAGAACCCAGGAGATGAGTTCTAGTCCTCCCTTAGGCACAGAAGCCAACTGGCTGACTTTGGATCAGTCATTCTTTCTCTCAGCCCAACCCACCTCACAGGGTTATTGTTGTGGGGGAAGTATAAGGAAGAAGTACTATTTGCACTGCCTTGAGTTATACAGAAAAGGTGGGATACAAATCTAATACACAAATTCTCATAAGATCCTGTTCTTTGCATTCTGAGATGGTGGCCACCAATAATGTTCCAATAATCTCTGATCAGAGTTACAGTTTATGTATCTGTTCAGTAATTATAAGGAATGCATTCTAATCAGATATTAATATATTATTTTTTCATGAAAGATTCCATATTTCTCTTTTAAGTCCAGCTTCAGAAAGCAATATACAAATAAGCAGCTGGCCCTTTTGAAAGTAATGGATTTTGAAGAGCTAGTTGTCAAGTATACAATATGGACTTTGTGTTTAAACTTACTTTCTGGGAACCTCATTACTCTTCTGAGTTGAAATGGTTTTTAATTTTCCATCTAAAATATGTAGAAGATGACAGATTTTAATGTAAATAGGCAGATATATCTGTATGTTTTCATTTCAAATTTGATTTTTTTTCCTTAATCTGTAGTTTTGTAGAGGAGTTTTAAATGACATCAGAAAGGATTCCTTTCTTTCATGGAAGGACTTTGGTCTCTTTAAACAATGCTGTGGCTGCTTTACAAAACGGTGGTGATTTCATACTTGCAGCAGCTGTCCCACTGCCAGCAGGGTGGACTGCTCTTCGTTGGCAGGAGAGCCCTGTTACTGGAAGAGGAAAAAAACACAAAGGCAAGCTAGATAGGTTTTTTTTTTAAAAATGCCCTCTGTTTGAAAAAGCTTGAATAATGATTCAGAGCTTGCTTTAAAAAAAAAAAACTATTATATTTTACTTTAAAATTACATGGTGGCTGTATACATTGGAAGCCGAGAGTAGAAAAAGCTAAAAGCCTGTTTTAGAGAGCTACTCTTCTTCCTGAGTCTACAGTGGTGTCTTAGATCTCCTAATTGGAAAACAACTCTTGATTAGAAAGAGTGTGAATATTATTAACTCTTCCTTTATGGGACAGTAAAACCCTTTAGGCTCTTTTTTGGATCATGCCATCTGTTTGAACTGTCAGTGAAAGGAAAGAGTACGTTAGGTGTCAAGAGGGAAGGAATGGTCAACAGAGCTCTTTCAGCAGTTTGCAGAAGTTCCAGCTGACCATCAAGAAATGAACAAAAACTGCTCACTGGAATACCTTCAGGGTGGAAGAGGCTGGGAAGATGATGGAGAAGTTGCTGACCCGCTTCATAATCAGCAGGGGGAGCCCCAATAGACAGCTAGTCCCAGTTAGTAAAGTTTTAAAGCTGATGCAAGAAAAGGTTTAAATAAACTGAAAGATTTTTGTTAACCTATTACTCTATCGCAGTGTTTCTCAACCTTAGGCTAGGGAATTCTGGGAGTTGAAGTCTACTCATCTTAAAGTTGCCAAGGTTGAGAAACATTGCTCTATTGGAAATATGCAGATAGATTTCAGAGTGAAAGATTGCCATGCTGAGTCTTTCATGACAAAGTGTTCTCTAAAATGCATACTTAGTCTTCATTTATCCTTCAACCTTTGTACATGTTTCAGGGATGCGAGACCATCTTTATAGCTCAATCATAATTTGGGATTATTTCCCTGAATCCAAGAAATGTGTTATAAAAGTGTGTGTGTATAGTTTATTCATAGGTAAACAGGCCTTGTGTCCATCCTTTTTCTTCTGTGTGCATGCAGGCGGCTTGCCAAAATAATTGCTGCAAGCCATATTGCAAACTTAATATGGCTTAGATATTTAAATCCTGGATTGTCTTGCTGCTTCATTAGGCCTGTCCTCAAATGACTATGTCATGGATTTCCAGTTGCTTCTGTCACATTGATTTTTTTCATGATAAATCACTTGCCTTTTAATCTGCATTCCTGAGCTGTAAGTTTAATAGCTGATTCAGCATATGGTGTAAGCCCCTTCTGCATGAAAACAGTAACTGAATTCGCTATAACTTTTCCCACTTAAATATAACAGGAGAATCCTAAGGGTAATGGACCCAGAACTGAAGGTCTAGTTGATTTCATCTGTAGAAGATAATTAAGAAAGTTTACAAATTTAATTATCCCAAATATTAATTGGTCTAGATCATTGCTGAGGCAAGTCAATTGAACATACATAGTTTCTTATATTGTCAGCCTTATTAAAAATCAAACTGCAGTGATTATGCAAGCCTTGGCTAGCAAAAATCTAACTGTCTTGCTAGATAAAAAGCTTGTATCTAGCTAAGGATGGCTAACTAGTTATCTATGAGAAACCCACAAGCAAAATAAAACATCTACTTAAGGTAACTTACTGAAAACCCCAAACTTTTTTACTATTCCGATTGATTCACATCTGAAAGAAAATTGATCTAGGAGAATTCTTGTGTAGCAGAATAAGCATGTTTTGTCACCTTTTATTTCTAGCCATAATTGACAACTGTTTTTCCAGTTGGAATGTGTAGAATTAAGAATCTTTTCCAATTGAAATATTTCATTAGAACAGTGTCATCAGCCTTTGGTCACTGCATGGGATAAGAGATACCTCATTTTGATGTAGGAGCAGGCTTGCAGAGGAGAGGCAGACTGTCCAACTCTGTTCCTTTCTTGGGATGGAAAGGCAAGCTGTTCCTCCAGGCCAGAGCTGGTCCCGAAATCACATGGGTAGCAGAGGAGGAGGACATCACAGTCCACCCTCCTGCACCAGCCCTCTTGTCAGAAGGCCATTTTTAAACATATGTCTTCCTCTATATATCTTAGGCAATGCCTCACCTTTCATTTCATCACATCCTCCTACCTTGGAGGCAAGTCTATTTTTTACTATTTCCTTTTTGAATAATTTAATTAGAAATGATTTTAGGAGTCCTTGTGGGTTTTTGGTAGTGTGATGCTTATGTTATGCATTCTTTACAGCATGATGCTTCTCCCTTTCTCCATGACCACAAGCCAGGAAGCAAAAATACCCAAGGCAGATTCCAAATGAGTCCTTATCTTATTAATAAATTATAAATATTGTTTTCTGCAGTAGTTTGGTGGCGAGCTTTGTGCCAGGGCTGAGATCACATTAAAAAACCTGCTGCTGTTTTAGAAAGTGTAAGCAAAAGGAAGTTCATGGCCTTTATAATCAATGCAGACATAGTCTTCCTGATCCAGCATGTGAGAGGGCATTTCTGTTGTCTCCAGTAGCCACAAGCAGTTCTGGAAGATGCCACTTAATAAAAGAAATCTGTGACGTGGCTCATAGCTAACATTCAAGGAAGTATGTGTATATAGCGCAGACAATTCTTTAAAGTGTTTTTCAAGGGAAAGGTTAGGTAGAGTGAATGAAGATAATAATCAGAATTGTGTTACGTTCTCTTCACTGAGTGTCTGCTGCAACCATTAAACATTTTAATGGTTCCCTAATGATATACATATGCCTGGCTGAGGGCAATGGGTTGAACCACTAGACATCTGGCAAGCTCTGAAGCAATGGCATTTCCAGCAGCAACCTGGATTCTTAACCCTTTGGATGACTGAGCATTTGTCAGGGGGCCAGTTGTGATTTATAAGTATTTAAGCTGTTTTCCTATTCCATATCCATCTAGATCTGATATAATCTACTGTGTAACAGCAGCTCTCCTGTTATAGCACATCTTTCCCATAACTTGCTAAGTGCTAATCTTTTTAATGGGGGATGACTAGAAGTGACTTCGGTCTACAAAGCTGTTCTGTACCATTGAACCTCATTCCATCTCTTGCTCGTTTTGGATTTAATCGTTATTGGCATTTTGATCCCTCTGCCTGCCTCAAAGCAATAATCTGTGGGCTGAAAGATATTTAGGACAGTCAGTGGGAATGGACACATCTTGCAGTTTTTCAGAGTATATTTCTTTAAATGTATTTCTTTCATTATTCTCTTGCTAGCGTTGAATGTCTGTTTTTGTGCAGCTCTTAATGGTTAAGAATGAAGCTAGGGAAAAACCATCTGGGAGCATGTTAGGCTCTCTCTCTGAGATGTTCTAGCTTTTCAGTTGTCCTAGAGCACTCTGATCAGGAAAATTAGGTGGTCTCCTAAGTCCCAATTCTATTTCGTTTCATTGTCAGTTCTTGAAATAATATCCCTAAACAGTATGAAAGTTAGAGTATCAAGATTTGTATTCAGCATTCCTTTCACTGTGCAAGCTTTTCACTGATTGAGGCATAATGATACTTTGCTTTTTTAGTTTGTATAGCTGAAGCACTGATTGTAAATCACCAGTGCTTTTTAAAAGCTAGCTCTGTGTGTTGCCACTTATGGCCATTATCAAATATATATTGCTGCTTATGTTACCTTTTGGATTTATTCATTAATAATGGAATCTCTGTAGTAGTAAGCAGTATAGGATAGCATTAGTGCAAGCATCTTTCTAAGAGGTGAGTCTGTGTGACTTGTCTAATCTTGAAACATAATCTGCTGGGGGGAGCAGGCTTTTCCAACATCCACTGTTTTACAGCAAGGAAAAAAGTCACATGGTGGATTTACTTAATACACATTTGTCAAAGGACTTCAGTGCATGATTTTGTTCTGTGGAACCAGTCACGATAGTAAACATCCCTTGGTTTTTCTGCCTGTATATACACTACAGAAAGATTCCAACCGCTTTAAATCTGATTAAACCAACAAATCACATTGAATTATACTTTGGCTGATGAATGGTTTGTTCATTCAGAAGAGATAGAGTTTAAGCTCTTATTGAGCTTTGGTTACCTGGTTTACTTTCTTGTCAAAATATCTGGTATCTTTGTACAGAAACATTCTTTCTGTACTGTTGTCTGAAAATAAATTGTTACACTCACCCCCTCCCTTGTTGTTACAAACCAGCATTGTTCAAAATATCCTTCTCTCACCAGAACTCTAGAAGAGGAAGTTGTATGGAAATAGACTAAACAGGAAATAGACAATGGAGAGGGTGAGAAGTTTCCTGGGGCCACATGGTTCAATAGATGTCCTCAAGGGATGCTATTTCATCTAGGCCACTAATTTCTTTTTTTGAGCTCAAAATAACAAAACATCTGTCCTTGTAAGTTGGAACCTCATTGTAATTGAGTCATACCCCACCTATTGTTACTTTTCAATTATTGCAGTGTGTCCATCTTCTCAGGTTTCCTGCCAACTTCCTCATCTTGAGAAAATGTTGCAAATTACTATTTTTGTGATGAAATGTAATTGTAAATTTATTTCTTTTATTTTGTCCATAGCGTGTGTGTGTGTGTATATATATATATAGAGAGAGAGAGAACAAAACTACATATGATGCAAGCTTGCTCCTGTCACTCAGTGATTTGAGATTTGCAGTAGTAGTTTCAGTGGGCAAATTCTAGGGGTAAAGAGTTGTTTATGAGAAATGGTTGCCTGTTAACCCTGCTCCCTCACCTCCTTACATCCAAATACTGTGGATCAAAGCTGGTTTGATGTGGAAGATCCATGACTGTCTCAGCCAGTGATTTTTTTTTTTTTTTTTTGGTAAAGGCAATTGTGCATCTGAAAGAGAGGTTTGGATCAGGCTCTCGTTTGGGGACTTAATCCTCCTTTTATGCAATCCCTGCTCAGTGGGTTTGTCCATCTGTTTTCACCTCTGTGGTTCAGTTCAGTGGCAAGATACTCATCTGTGCCCATCTCCTACATCAGTTGTGAATCTACTAGATTTTGCCACTTTTGCTCTAAGCTGGTCTTGGCACATTGTTTCAGTCTCAGCCAACCTTGTTTAAGCAACATAAGTTGTTTGCTATTCTTTGTCCAAAAAATACCTTTCATAAGATTATTTTCCAAACGAATGTGTGTGATCTGCATCAGATTATCTTAATCTGGAGGAAGCAGAGCAGAATCTTCCTTGTTCGCTTTTGCTGTACTGTATTTGATACTTGCTGCTGTTCTAAATTCTCTGTCACTCAAGTGTATAAATAGGTTCATAATTATTTTTGTTGTGCTGAGCCTATTTTTTTGTGGCTTGTGCTGCGACAATGTCATATCTCTTGATGGTTTTTACTTTTTATATAACATTTTCCAATAGGTATTATTTATTCGTTAGATTCTTGCCTTCAGAAGCTCATAATGGCATATTCAGAGCTCCCTTTTCCCTACAACCACA